ACCATTCCCAGCCATTCCCGTTCCGCAGGAGCTGCAGGAGCTGCTGTCAGAGCTCCATTCCCAGCCATTCCCCGCTGCCCCAATCCCACATCCCCAGCCATCCCCAGCCATCCCCAGCCATTCCCAGCCATTCCCCACCATTCCCAGCCATTCCCCCCCATTCCCAGCCATTCCCGTTCCGCAGGAGCTGCAGGAGCTGCTGTCGGAGCTCCATCCCCAGCCATTCCCTGCTGCCCCAATCCCACATTCCCAGCCATCCCCACCATTCCCAGCCATCCCCAGCCCTTCCCCCCCATTCCCAACCATTCCCATTCCTCAGGAGCTGCAGGAACTGCTGTTGGAGCTCCATCCCCAGCCATCCCCAGCCATTCCCAGCCATTCCCCGCTGCCCCAATCCCACATTCCCAGCCATTCCCCGCCATTCCCAACCATTCCCATTCCGCAGGAGCTGCAGGAGCTGCTGTCGGAGCTCAAGGACATCTCGGTGGTCCTGGGCATCGACCCCTCGTGCCCGATGGACCTTTCCCGGGTCGTGGAGGACGTTCGGGCCCAGTACGAGAGCCTGGCCCGGCACAGCTGGATCGAGGCCGAGGCCCTGTCCAGGAGGAAGGTCTGGGATGGCTGGGAGGCACTGGGAAGGGCTGGGAGCAGAATGGGAAGGGCTGGGATAGACTGGGAAGAGCTGAGGGGCACTGGGAATGGCTGGGGGGCACTGGGAAGGGCTGGGAGCAGAATGGGAATGGCTGGGAGCACTCTTGGAACGGCTGGGAGCACACTGGGAAGGGCTGGGAGCACACTGGGAATGGCTGGGAGGAAACTGGGAACGGCTGGGAGGCACTGGGAATGGCAATGGGAACAGCTGGGATACACTGGGAAGGACTGGGAGCACACTGGGAAGGACTGGGAGCACACTGGGAAGGGCTGGGATAGACTGGGAAGGGCTGGGATACACTGGGAACGGCTGGGAGCACACTGGGAAGGGCTGGGATGCACTGGGAAGGGCTGGAAGGCACTGGGAATGGCAATGGGAACAGCTGGGATACACTGGGAAGGACTGGGAGCACACTGGGAAGGGCTGGGATAGACTGGGAAGGGCTGGGATAGACTGGGAAGGGCTGGGAGCACACTGGGAAGGGCTGGGAGCACACTGGGAAGGGCTGGGAGCACACTGGGAAGGGCTGGGATGCACTGGGAAGGGCTGGGAGCACACTGGGAATGGCTGGGAGCACACTGGGAAGGGCTGGAATGCACTGGGAATGGCAATGGGAACAGCTGGGATAGACTGGGAAGGACTGGGAGCACACTGGGAAGGGCTGGGATAGACTGGGAAGGGCTGGGAGCAGAATGGGAAGGGCTGGGAGCACACTGGGAAGGGCTGGGAGCACACTGGGAAGGGCTGGAATGCACTGGGAATGGCAATGGGAACAGCTGGGATAGACTGGGAAGGACTGGGAGCAGACTGGGAACAGCTGGGATACACTGGAAATCAGCTTGGGAAAGGCTGGGATCAGACTGGGAAGGGCTGGGATGCACTGGGAAGGGCTGGGAGCAGAGTGGGAAGGGCTGGGGTACACTGGGAAGGGCTGGGAGCAGAATGGGAAGGATGGGATTGACTGGAAATCAGCTTGGGAAGGGCTGGGAGCCACTGGGACTGGATGGGATAGACTGGAAAGGGCTGGGATCAGACTGGGAACAGCTGGGAGCAGACTGGGAATGGCTGAAATGCACTGGGAAGGGCTGGGATGCACTGGGAAGGGCTGGGATAGACTGGGAATGGCTGGGATGCAGTGGGAACAGCTGGGATCAGACTGGGAAGGGCTGGAATAGACTGGGAATGGCTGGGATAGACAGGGAATGGCTGGGATAGCCTGGGAAGGACTGGGATGGACTGGAAATCAGCTTGGGAAGGGCTGGGAGCAGACTGGGAAGGAGTGGGATGCACTGGGAAGGGCTAGGATTGGCCAGGAATGGTTGGGATAGACTGGGAAAGGCTGGGATGAGACTGGGAAGGGCTGGAATCAGTCTGGGAATGGCTGGGGTAGACTGGGAATGGCTGGGATGAGACTGGGAAGGGCTGGGATGAGACTGGGAAGGGCTGGAATCAGTCTGGGAATGGCTGGGGTAGACTGGGAATGGCTGGGATCAGAGTGGAAAGGGCTGGGATGGACTGGGAAGGACTGGGATAGACTGGAAGGGTTGGGATGGACTGGGAAGGGCTGGGATGTGCTGGGAAGGGCTGGGATACACTGGGAAGGGCTGGGATGGGCTGGGAAGGGTTGGGATGCACTGGGAAGGGTTGGGATGCACTGGGAAGGGCTGGGATGGACTGGGAAGGGCTGGGATGGACTGGGAAGGGCTGGGATGCACTGGGAAGGGCTGGAATGCACTGGGAAGGGCTGGGATACACTGGGAATGGCTGGGATGCACTGGGAAGGGCTGGGATAGACTGGGAAGGGCTGGGATGATCCCTGGCTCCCGTTCCATGTCCCCCCAGCTGAGCGAGGGCCATTCCCAGGCCGGGACGTTCGGGGGGCACCTCCTGGAGAGCCGGAGGGAGATCGCGGAGCTCAACATCCGGATCCAGAAACTGCGCTCGGGAATCGTGTCCCAGAGGAGCCAGGTGGGAATGGGATGGGAATGGGAATGGGATGGGAATGGGAATGGGAATAACC